CTCACCGTCAGAAAACGAACCCGAACCCGAACCGGAACCCGAACGCGATTGACCTCTCGATTGACCACCATCACCTCTAGACCTCGATGACGACGACGACGACGATGAGCAACTCACCCTCTTACCGCCCCCCTCAGCCTCCTCCTCGGATTGTGATTTTGCCAAAATACCACTCCGCATCACATCCCACACCAGACTCAACTCCGAGTGCGACTTCTCCCTCAGGTGTCGCCACAGCTTCGGCAAACGTGCCCGATGACCCTTCCCCCCTGCCCCTTTACTACTGCTGTCGGCACTAGTGAATGAGCCCTGCACTGAGAGCTGAGGCCGCTTCGAGTAGGCCGCCTCAGGCCTCAGGTAGGCCTCAGCGGCGCTACCGCCAGCCGGTGAGCTTGACCTACAGGTGGCCAATCTCGATGGGGGCCGGCAGCTGCCGCCCCACGACATAGCCGCCGCCGCCGCTGCACTTTCCCGAGACCTACCCGGACTTGCCCGCTGGCCACCACCCGCAGCTCCAGCCCCAGCCCCAGCTCCAGCCACACTACTATTACATACCAAACCACCACCACCGCCGTCGTCTTCAACCGTCTCCGTCTTCGGGTGCAGATGATGCCGATTTGCCAGTGCCGATGCGTTGAGTTGCTGCTGCTCCGGTGAGACCGCCGTTCCGGAGCCTGCTCTCCGTCCCGGATTTTCGGACGTCAAAATACTTCGATTTCGAGTTGAAGTCAGAGGCTGTTCGNACATTAATATTCCTCTACATTTCCCTCATCTCCATATATTTATCTTAATAATATCACTAATAATAATAATGAATATCCCCGATGACGTCACTTTTCCCAGCATACAGTAATTAATAACAGCTCGAATATACAATAGTACCCCAATACAGACAGATTGCCTCCAAATCAAATTTGTATTTTGATGTTTGCACTTTGATCTCTGAACCTTAACCTTGACCTTGACCTTTGACCTCTGACGGGCTAACCCTCAGCCCTCAATGTGCTACACCTCACCTTCTTGGACGGTGGTCAGTCAGCTGAATCACGTGAAAAAAACATTAACAAACGCTTACATTTCAACGCTTCATAATATCAACTGTCAATTATACTAATTAAAATAATAATAATAATATACCTAATAATAAATAATACCTCACAATATATAATATATAATAATAAATAATAATAATAAATAATCACACCTCATCACATAAATAATAAATATTACACCATTATACACAAGTCTAAATACAAATCTCCATACTAATTCATTCTCTAAATCCCAAACGTGGTCTCGAAACGAATTACTACTAATCGAAAATTACTAATTAATTAACACTAATTACTGATAATAATTAATACTAATTACTAATTCTCCTCTAATCGAGACTAATCAAAACCCACCCACACCACTAATAATCACTCAAAACCGACCCACTCAAAATGGCTATAAAGCTGTAAAAGTTGTAAAAACTCAAAAATATAAAANATAACGCTGTAATATTCAACGCTTTCTAAACCTAAAAATAATTCCAACATCCTACAACTTCATACCCATACCTATACCCGTCATACCCTTACCCATACCCATACCCCTACCCATACCCATACCAATACCCATACCCATACCTATACCTATACCCATACCCATACCCATACCCATACCCATACCTACACCCATACCCATACCCACATCATGCCATCCAGCAACACCTCACTAACAACGAATGACATTGACACGATAATTGTCAAAATACTTCCAGTGATTATATTACAATAATAATAATAATAATCATAACTATAACTTAAATACTAATAACTATAACCATATAAACAATAATAACAATAACCATATATAATAATAATATATATAATATCAATATAAATAATAATACATATAATAACAATATAAATAATAGATCCACAAGCAGTCCTAAAATATTACAGCTATATATTTTAACTACTCTAAACTACTGTCCTAAGTTTAGAAATTATTAAATTGAGTGGAAAATAGCGACGCAATCAAATTATTATACGAAATTTTAGATTCTCGAAACGAATTCTAATATTCAAAACTGAGGATAATAATCAAATAATTTAATAATATATAATAATAAATAATAATAAATATAATAATAAATACAAAACATAATAAAAAATATAACAAGCAATGCAGTATGATCAGTCGTCAGTCAGCTTTAACAGCGTTCTATCGCATTTCACCTATTGATTATCAATATCATCACATCAATACATCCTATCTATCCTCAAGACATCCTCGAGACTCTCGATCTCGACGCGATGGATCATCAATCAAGCTGCTGCAGCGTAGAGGGTGGCAGAGAACGAGAGTGATAAGAGAGATCGCGAAGTGAGAGAAGCAGAGAGCGAGAGTGGTGAAGAGATTACGCTAAGATGAGAGACGGACAAGAAAACCAGACCAGATGAACGATGTGCGGCGCTAAATAAAAACCCAAACTTCAGCCTAAACTCCACAGGTAATCGCCTCTAACTGTCTGCTGTCTCCTGTCTAAACGTTCACTCTAGCCTGCCACACTATCTTTTCCCTCTCCAACTCTTCCTTCACATGTTCACTGTAAGTTTTTCTTTGCATGCTGCCTGTCTCCGGAGTTTCCCGTGTCTCTCCGTTCTCTTCGCAGATTTAAAGCTGTATCGTTTGGCAGCTATGAAGCTGCTGTATCTAAAGCTCGAGCTTCTTCAAAATAACCTCACATCAGATTTTTTTCGCAACAGGTCAACTCCCCCCTCTACTACAACCCATTCAGCTCCTCCAGCAGCTCTATATCCATCCTCCAGCAGCTCTATATCCTGAACCTCAGATAGACATTCACACACACACAGACACCCGGACACTTCCCGCTATTACAGCTATCTACCACTCTCCCGAACTCAGCAGCTCAAGCCCAAGCCCAATTCCATGCCCATGTCCAGGCCCAATCTCGCGTTCCACACTTCAGTCTAAGCTCTCACTCTTTACCACCTCAATCTCTATCTCTATCTCCACCTCCAGC